CCCTTAATACAAAGAAAACAGAATTTATGTCCACAACCAGGCACAGCCGTAGGAAGAATCATCCTTTGAGCACAAACGGGACATTCGTCATCGTCACTGTCTTGTGCCATATTAGGAGTGAAGAGAACGACTGGAAAGTAGTGCCACTACAGTTAATCAAGTCGATGTAAGTCCAGTGAAGAGTATCGAACCGTGAAAAAGATGCAAATGAATACAATATTGATCTATGCGTGCATTCTCCGATAACTTTACGACTGAGCAAACATTAGAATGACGCTAGGAAAACAGGAAACATCTGGGATTAGAAAAAGTTTTTTCAACGTATTACCCCCAACCTGGAGAAATCCTCTGCGCTGACCGACGTGAAACTGCTTGAAGAGGTGTGTTACTAGTGTTTTCGAGAAGGACAAATCTGCTGGTTCTGCTACTACGAGAAAGAAGTGGGAGAGACATCCACGCGCTTAATCGATGTTCACGCTGCACAGGGTGTCCGAGAAACTCATTGTAAGATATTTCTGAAATATTCCTCTGTGCACAGGAACAAACCCTTCCCCCCAACATTGCTCTAGGTAAGCTACTCGTTACAGTCAACGCCCAACGAGCCTTACCTGGGAAATCCGCCAACTTACCATGGAACTTTGAATGGAGACCTGGATAGATCGATAGTATAAGGTTATTACAAATATAGATAGCAAAACTGCAACCTGCATTTCACAAGCAACTTATGAGCAGGTAAAGTTTGTAATGGTGCAGTAGGGTGGAGGCTTGGTGGTGAAGCATAAGCGAGGAATCGCATATACGTCGAATCGAGTCGTCGAACGTCGAACCTTACCACTGAACCACCACGACTCGATTCGACGTATGCGATTCCTCGCTTATGCTTCACAGCTCACCACCAAGCCTCCACCCTACTGCACCATTACAAACTTTACCTGCTCATAAGTTGCTTGTGAAATGCAGGTTGCAGTTTTGCTATCTATATTTGTAAATAACCTTATAGACTCTATCGATCTACCCAGGTCTCCATTCAAAGTTCCATGGTAAGTTGGCGGACTTCCCTGGTTAGACCATTTGGGTCTGTTTGAAGCGACGGAGTCACCCCACGTTTGAGCCATCTATAGACAGGTTCCTGGGGATCAGCATGTCTCTGCTATGGTAATGGAAGACATCATACGTCGTACTGTTTGGGATAAGGTCGAGTCTGAGTCGAGTGTTCTCAATGGCTCTTCTGATGAGGAATTTTTCTATTTTTTCGTTCCACGCGCACTACACACCGCCTTGGTCGGTGACGCTAGACGCTGCAATTTTACTATTCCTGATAGATGTCCGGTGTCTCGCACGTTATCGCTCGAAGGATATTGGAGGGTCGTATTGGTGACGGAAAACAAGAGCGTACCGCATTAGGAACTTTTCCTGACACAATGCTTGAAGACAATCCCCACGCTCTACCTCTTCGTGGGCTCCCCTGCACAAGTAGTCTGGCTCTCACTATTTTTGCTTTTTCGCTGCTTCACAGTAAACGAAAGCGTTGTGATACTCATAAGCGGGAGCTCTTACGCCTACCGTGTTGTCCCGCCCAAAATCCAGAGACTTTTTTGTCATAAGTTCAGATTCTACACCGTATTTTTCGTTTTTTTTTTTTAATGTCTAATAGAATGAGCACTGGATGACGCGAAGAGACGATTAGTGAGGCAAAAGGATTTTTTTCTGCTGGAATGAAACTAGCAGGCCCGCAAGACTCATACACTGGAGCTGACAGAGGCCTCTAGGGTGTTCACCACGATATTTTTTCTTCTCTGGGGATTCACTTAGAGAGTATAGGTTTGTAACTGAGCGATACTATTCCCAGTATGCAACCGCAGTGCTTGCCTTTGACCCTGGTCCAGACAACGTCCCTATAGTTCCTGATTTGTTCTCTACTTCTCGATTCTCGCAGTGTGTCATCAAGCCAGGTTCTGAAGGCAGAAGGAATGAAGACAATGACCCACTCCCCCTCCCCCTCGTAACACCGCGCTTAACCAGATACTGTATCGTACAGTAGAAACCACTTCCGTAGCTTCGAAGAAATGAAGCACCGGCGTTTTTTTTTATGATAACCGACTATAGAAGCCAAGATAGATGGTTCAACCACGTATGTGAGACGCCTTGACAAGTTTGTCTTGATCAACTTCACTCTTTTAACCGTGAACTTTTTCTATTTAGTTAACGAGAATTCT